AGTTTTGTTCGATTTACCTCGCTGCACAGTTCAAACCTTGCGAAGCAATACTCTGCAATTACGAAGGAAATGCTTTGCAGTTACAGAGGGCTTATAAGTTTTGTAATAGAAATCATTCTCTTTGTATCACACCGTGAAAATTGTTTCTTGATGTCCATGAACCATGGATGGACAACACTGTTAAAAATCCTGTACCAAAGTACAGAAAAAGTACAGGATTCCGTACAGGATAAGGTACAGGACACCCGTACTTTATTACTGTAGTGCCCATAAGGCTCCATGTTAAAAATTCCTGTACTCTGTACTCAAAACACCGTACTTAGCAAGTACAGGAAGACCGTGAAACAAGTTGACCAATTAAGTACTGTTCAACTCCTGTGGTTTTTTCAAACAGTGAATGGACCATCGGAACGATTCAAGGACGCCCACATCCTTGAATATCAAAGAGCACTTTTCACCGTGCATTAGCAAATTATTGCTTTGTACTACAAAGGAGGCGCTTCGTAATACTACGAATGGTTCGCAGCTTTCACTATGTTGTAGGCTAAGGGTTGAACGGTTCAACAGTTGAACAGTTAGGGCTGCCGAGTCGCTTGCGTGAGCGTTGTTATCCCATGACAGTTAGAAGTGGCTCTATCATCGCATAAGATACATTTACACGAGTTCAGAGAAAAATGTTTACGGTAACGATTTAGGCTAACGAGCTCTGAGAACGCAAAGACCTATCCTCTTCTCTCCAGGCAGGGTATCAGATCACAAACCTGTGACGTTGCTTGCCAGGTGAAAGCACTATACTTACATGACGGAAATCCTCTCTGCCAAGCAGAAGCCCAACCAGTCAATATTGTTCAAAAGGATAGACGGGGGGTGGATTTGCAGAGGAGGTGGTGCGAGGGGCTGCCATACGGCGGCCCAGCCGCTCGCCCCAATGCAAACAAACGCTGCAAACACTCGGCCCGGCCCCTTGCCCCGCAGGTGAGGCGGGCTCGAGTGAGTGGGTGGGTGTTAAAAAAGACCGTTTTTGCTGGACCGGATTACCTTTCATACAAAAGCTACCATAGTAATTAAGAAGTAATCCTCAGATCGAATGTCAAGTTTTATTTTTTTCTATTCATTTCTTTAGAGCTCAATCTCGTTTTAAAAAGAGCACTCAACAAACAACAGGAATTAATAAGGCGGAAGAGAACACCCGAAAACTTACCGCGCATCAAATTGTTACGGGGAGGGAACTCTGTGAAGCCCAAAGGGAGGACGACCAAAGGAACTGTCGGCTCCTTCCTCCCATGTATTCCGAGGGGAAAGGGCCGGAGAGCGCAAGTAGACGGCAAAAAGCAATCACGTCTGGGGACGGACCAAGATTCTATGCAAATTTGCTTTGTTTGGCGCCTGGCACCGCCACCCGGCAGGCAACGCCCGCGGGTGTGACAGAGACGCTCGAACCCACCACCCATCCGCCCCCTCTAAGCTGCGCTCGCGGCGGCGATGCACACGAACGTGCTGACTCCTAAATTCGTCATACCCCATCTCAGTGTTCTCCTCCGCCCCCCAACTTGATAACGAGCGGCTCGTCAGGGCGGCGGCGGTGGAGAAACGAATGTCAGAAATAATTGAAATGTCGCGCTGCGCCCGCTATGAACGGGCGTTCCCGTTTTAATCAGTTTTTGGCACTCTCCGAAAATGTTCACATTATATTTCCCGGCCGGAAGGATCATCACTCCAACTGCAGTTTGTACTATAGACGAACTGAGGTCGGCACAAACTACAGTTTAATTGTAGTTTTGTTTTCTATAGGT